GGGGCGGGAGGGGCCGGGACTGGGGCCACCAGTGTCTCCATGCTCCCCGTCGGGGTGGGGGTTGGGGCCAGGTTTTGTCCCCCCAGGACACCCGTCGTGGGGCAGTGGGAGCCCATAGTGACGAGAACGTGGCCGCGGCCCCCCGAGATCGCTCCGGCCAGCCTCCCCGTGCTGGAAGCTCTTTCTGGTCCCCAGTGGCTGGAATGAAGACACCCCGGCCAGAGGCCTGGGCGGTGCCGAGCGCCAGAGGGGACGCTGTGGCCCCCTGCAGGGCTGCCCGGGTCCCCGGATGGGGCTGGGGTGCGGTCAGCCCGCTGCGTTTCCTTGCCTGTTATTAATATTGTAAGTCGTATTAATGAAGAAGCTGCGAGTCTTTTCCCCTTTTGCCATGTGCTGGGGTTTGGGTTTATCCTTGGGAAATAGGACACGGCTTTGGCTAATAGACATTTGAGGTGCAGGAAATGAGATGCCGCGGAAGCAATTCAGATGGAACTGACAGGTACGAGCGTGGGGCTCAGCTGCACCCAGCTTCTCGGCTTGATGACGGTCTCGCAATAAATAATCAGAAACCGGGAGAAATGATAGAACATGTCAGTTTCGAGTTTTCACTTGTCAAAACTAAGATTGTCTTATCAGCAAACCATTGCCGGACCAAATTATGCTCCCTTTTATCCTCCGGCTCATTGGAAAACCCTCCTCACCCCGTTCTTTCACGCGGATCGTGCCAGGCACTTCACAGACAGAGTCCCAGCCGCATTCCTCTCGTTACCGCTCGTTCATTTAATAAAGGCGCTGGGCGTGGGGGAAGCGGCTCACCTCCCTGTGTCCGAGCAGTGGGTGTAATATACCCAAGATCCTCGGGTCGGGTTCGTCTGAGGACCCGAGGGGTGTAATTCCGACCTCGGGGGCACAGGTGCAGCACCCGTACCTTAGTGCCGTGTTCCTAAGAAGCGCTCGCCAGTTTATGTTCAGCAGGCCGAAGTCCTCGTGATGAGCGTGCGGCCAGAGGCAGGAGGCACGGAGAAGGCCAGTCCCACCAGGCCGGCGGGGCCCCTGCCCGGCCCGGGGCGCAGCATGCAGCGGGCCACTGCCTGCCTGCCAGCCAGACTCGCAGGCAGGCGGACAGCCAGCTCCAAGGTGCCTGCTCGAAGGCTCAGTGTGAACTCAGGCATCCTGACCGCATTCGTCTCCGAACTTCTCTCCTCACTCACCGAGAGAGAATCTCCGCTTCGCTGGCGACCGCAACGGCACACAGGCGTGGCCGGGGAAGCCGCTTCCCTCCTCATGGCTTGTTTTGCCGAACCCCGTCAGTGCGAGCTTTCTCTGCCCCTTCCGCGGGTTCCCGCTGACCTTCTCACGGTCCCTGGGTTACGCCCGCCGAGGAAGCCGGGACTCCGGGGGGCCCTCAGAGAAGGGGGCGGGCAGCGTTCGCCCTGACCTCTGGCCCTGGGTGCCTGCGTCTCGACTGCCGGCTGTGAGCAGGAAGGTCTCCAGGCCCCGGGGAGCACCGTGACCTGGCGGCTGAGCAGCTCACGCAGAGAACCCCGCGGTGCCCGGCGAGGGACCTCCGCGAGCCGATGGCCCCAAGCAGCGTCGAGCGCTGCCGCCCGGTCGGGAGAAGCCTGGACATTTACTTTAGAACAAGGGGCCCACGCCCAGGAGAGGCGGCCTGGGCGGAGCTGGGCCCTGGCAGGGCCGGCTGCCAGTGTGAAGCCTTTGGAAGCTGGGTCGCTCCTGTGCCTCCTTGGGAAGACGGTGCTCCCACCGGGCGAGGGGGCCGGGGCGGAGGGGCGCTGGGCAGCGGTGCTCAGCGGGGGCCTCGCCCAGTGCGCGCCCCAGGGGCTCCCCGTGGGTCCGGCGGAGGCCCCCAGCCTAGTGGGACGGGGCGGACACCGAGTTCGCTAGCTGTGAGGACTTGGCAGTCCAAACTCAGAGTTGGGGGACAGGCTCCCAACCATGGACGAGGAGGGGGAGCGTGAAGGCTGGGAGGAGTGCCCCGCCACTAGCAGACTCGCACCCCGCAAGCCTCCGGTGAGCTCAGCACACCGCGCACAGCGTAGTCTGGACTTCCCACGAGCACGTGCCTGTACAACCACGCCTCGCTCGGATGCGCCGTGGACGTGGAGCGCGGGTGGCCCGGCCAGGCCGTGGCTGCGCAGGTGGTGCTCGCGGCCTCCGGCTTGCGGTCCTGGTGCCGCCCGCCCGGCGGTGGGTGATTCCTGACGGCGCCTCCATGACCCACGAGGTGGGGCTCTCCCCGGCGCCCACACAGCGCCCTGTTTTCTGGCAGTAGGAGCCAAGGACGAAACGGAACCCTGGCCTGTGTGCACCTGCTCGCGTTGGGAGGCCTGGCCCCCCGGGCCCCAGCCCCCCAGGCCCTGGACCCGCGGCTCCCAGGCCCCCT